CGGTCCTACGCCAGTATCAATGTTTATTCAGTCAACCATCAGTATGAATGACTAGTCTGTCCAGTGTCACTAATGAGAAATTAGACTTGTTCTGCTTTCGTAACGAAAACGATAAGTCAGTCCTGCGGCAGTATGAATAATTAGTCCGTCCTGTAGTTCGGTGTGAATGATTAAACAGTTCCGCCTCAGTATGAATGATAGACAGCCCTATACATCCGTATGAAATTTAACGTCTCATGCTTCATTACCAATGATTACTCTGTCAGCGTAAAGTATGAAGAATTACCAGTCCAGCGTCAGTATGAATAATCTACTCAGCCTGGCATCATCAGTATGAATGATTAGTCAGTCCAACGTCAGTATGAATGATTAGTCGGTCGTCGTATGACTAATTTGTCCGTCCTGTTTGTATGAATGATTAGCAAGTCCAACGTCGTTATGAATGATTAGCCAGTCAAACGTCGGTATGAATGATTAGCCAGTCAAACGCCGGTATGAATGATTAGCCAGTCCAACATCGGTATGAATGATTAGCCAGTCAAACGTCGGTATGAATGATTAGCCAGTCAAACGTCGGTATGAATGATTAGCCAGCCAACGTCGGTATGAATGATTAGCCAGTCCAACTTCGGTATGAATGATTAGCCAATCACACGTCGGTATGAATGAATAGCCAGTCAAACGTTGGTATGAATGATTAGCTAGTCAAACGTCGGTATGAATGATTAGCCAGTCCAACATCGGTATGAATTATTAGTCAGATCAGCTTTAGTATAAATTGTTAGTCAGTCCAGTGTTAGAGGCTCACATAATATTAATTCATTCAACTCGATCAATAAATCTATGTATATATCACAAAGCACAAAAAGTCATCACGACAGAATCATAATGCGCAAGTATTGACTTTTAGTACGCGCAAGTTGTAGCGTTCCAATGATTTATCCATAGTTACTAGTTTGTTTCTTTGCTCTTTTGCTTTTCATTTGTTCTTGTGTTTGTTTGTAAACATAATGTTTGCACATTTTGTCAATTGTTTGTTCTTGCATATATTCATTTTCGACCAAATGTTTATCATATAAATTTACCAAGTTTTAGCAAACTTATCTCTAAAATGTATTCAAACAATAGGACATTCAGCTCAAATGATTGAACGCATACTATTGATATGCTGTGTTTTTTCTCAGGTGGAATTTAATTGTTTAAGGGTTTAAATGAATTTAGTTTAAATATAGTTTATTTCAAACAGCTTCACAGTGTTTACATTTATATAAATAAACAACATTCAATAATGTACGGAAGCGTCCTGGTGCCAATTTAACATGTTCTATCAAAAGATAACTCCTACATAGGACTTTGTAACTCCTACGTAGGACTTTATAACTCCTACGTAGGAGATAAAAAGCCTAATAAGGAGTTTATAAATTCTACGTAGGACTTTATAACTCCTACGTAGAAGAACACTTATAAAGTCCTACGTATGAGTTATAAAGTCCTACGTATGAGTTATAAAGTCCTACGTAGGAGTTACTAAGTCCTACGTAGAAGTTAAAAAGTCCTACGTAGGAGTTTAATAGTCCTACGTAGGAGTTTTAAACTCCTAATTACGCTTTTTATCTCCTATGTAGGACTTATAAAGTCATACGTAGGAGTTACAAAGTCCTACGTAGGAGATTAAAAGTCCTTATATAGACTTATATAGACTCATAAAGTCCTACGTAGGAGTTATAAACTCCTAATTAGGCTTTTTTGATCTCCTACGTAGGAGTTATTTTTTATAAAACATGTTAAATTGGCACCAGGACGCTTCCGTTGTAATGTACACAATACAAGCATGAAGTGTTAAAAAACGATTGGCTACGAGAGCTGAGCTTATCGAGTCATTCTTTTTATGGATTTATAGTGCATAAACTACGGTATGACAGTAAACGTGACTTGCTTGAACTTTATTTGACTTTACATCCTTATTTTTAAATAATTAAAGTCATTTTTTTTCTGTAATCTAAAGTAAAAACATAAACACGCTTTCCTTGAATAACTTATGTCTATATTGTCTATTGGTCACTTATAACAGAAAGATTTACAAAACCTTATTAAGAAATATGCCCAGAAATATATTGAAATATGTATTTTTGAGCTATCCTTAGCACGTTTTAAGTGAAAAGCGTTGCAATTTTATGTAATTTTTATTATAAAATTACAAATAGAATTATTATTCTAGATAAACAGAGAGAACGAATGGTCTAATATCGACAAACTTATCTCGAAATTTCGAGTATCTTACTCGATATTTCGACTTAGTAACTCGAAATTTCGACTAAGTAACTCGAAATTTCGACTTACATTGCACGACTTTCATTGGTTGCCGGTGAAAGCAACGTCTGAATAACGCCTGAACGTACAAATTAAAGGAAGCCTTGTGTTTTTAAGGTCGGGTGTGTACATGCCATTACTAAGTTTAAGTTAAATTTCAATAGGTTTTGTCCAGGCACCCGTTTCTCCATCTCCATCGTTCAACGGCACAACCTACTATTAATAATATCTTATATCATCTAACTAACAACGTTGGCCATTTTGTAATCTTAATAAGTCGAAATTTTGAGTAACTAAGTCGAAATTTCGAGTTTATAACAAATTTGTTTCAAAATAACAACAAAATGACTGAAATTATGCAGTGTTCATACGTATGAACAAAAACCTGCCATGTTGAAAACTGTAAAACAGTTTTTTTTTTGTTCATACGTATGAATAAAATAGTATTGTGTAATTTATGTGATATTTTTCACTCTGTGAGTTGGTTTTGTTCAGGCGTATGAACAAATTTGTTTCAAAATAACCACAAAATTACTGAACTGATGTTGTGTTCATACGTGTGAACAAAAACCTGCCATGTTGAAAATGTTAATATTTTTTGTTCATACGTATGAACAAAATTGTATCATGTAATTTATGTGTTATTTTCCACTCTCTGAGTTGGTTTCGTTTAGACGTATGAACAAATTTGTTTCAAAATAACCACAAAATTACTGAAATGATGTTGTGTTTATACCTATGAACAAAAATCTGCCATCATGTTGAAAAAATGTTTAATTTGATTTACTTTTTGGTTCATACGTATGAACAAATGTGCAGCTGTTTATGTGTTATTTTTTACTTTGTGAGTTGGTTTTGTTTAGACATCTGAACAAAATTTGTTTCAAAATAACCACAAAATGACTGAAATAATGCAGTGTTCATACTTATGAATTAAAACCTTACAAGTTGAGGAAAAAAATTGTTCATACGTATGAACAAAATTGAAGCGGCTAATTTGTGTGCTATTTTGACTCTAATAGTTTGTTTTGTTCAGACGTATGAACAAATTTTGTTGAAAAATAAAAAGATTATTACTGATTTTTTGCTGTTTTTGTCCTTTTATGCCCAAAAACCTGTATTTTTTACTGTGTTTTTTCAAAGAAATAATAAATCGGGCCAAAAAGAGGGACACTCGGAAAATCCTCTTTTATTCTGGAAGCAGATAAGTAAAGAATATCATAACTAAATTGAATAAGCGACAAAAAAAACGCCATCACCAGTAAAATTGCATCTTTAGGAAAAGGAAGTCGATGTCAACATACATCATGTTAAAATGTAACAAAATTAGTGAAATTTAACAGAACTATAATTCAGAATTGTTGATGTGACGTCATGATGTGGTGACGTCATAAAGAATAATGCGATAGGTTACGCGGCATAATCAGTAAAATATACTTACACTCACTCAAAAAGCATGAAATTAAAATAAAATTTATTTGTTTTACATATAAGATTAAAATATATTTTATTCATGAACACCAGCTATTATATAAAAACCAACGTTTGAACATACTGTGTTATCTTCTGATTGTTTTTTCAATTCCGTACAACGTTACATTTTACAGAGGTCAGTATCAGATGTAAGAACGACCCATACAATGGACTAACATGTGCCGCAGAATACCCAGACCATTGCAAAGGTATGCACAAAGCAACAATTCTCGATGTTAAGTTTTTCAACAATTTCACTCAGTACATTAGTTTAGTTTGTACAAATTATCTTAGTTCAATTGTGTTAAACGCTATGGGTTTATTGAAACACTATCAAATTCATTCCTGGAAGCGATCAGTTCTAAGCAATGAATATAAAGTTGTTGCTAAAGGAACAAATCATTAAATTAAAGCTGCATGTGGTTTAATGCTATTTTACCAATAACCTTTAGACCTTAAAATAAATAGAATAAAATATAAAATGAAACAAGAAATTTAGATTACAATCCTTATCGCATACTAAAGCGTGTCTATAATTGCCTGTAACTCAATTTCGCAGTACAGATAAGAGGTATATTGAAGATTGTCAAAGATATTAAAATCATTTCGTACAACTTTTAATCACAAATGAATTAACATGTAACCGTTTACCTTTTGAATGCCTTACCAGTAGCTAGGGACTGTTTCAGGGACCAAGTATCAATATAATTAACAAAATATCTTATGTTGTAATTATATTACAAATATTGTTGTAAATCGTGGTAAAATATTAGAATATTCTGTAACGACCGTTACAGATTAGCATGTTTAGAAACTCTTGAAATTTTACATTATTTTTTGTTTGTTTTAAAATGGCTATTTATTCAGTTAAATATGAAAGTATAAACTTTGTCAGTGAGCACTCTAGAGAAAAATTAATTTGAAATATAATATTTGATTTATTTTCCAGTTGAAACAAAAAGCATTAATAAGAAGCAAAACACACACATACATAATACCGCAATTATATACACAGCAAGGCTTTTAATATAAACTTTTGTTCAGCACACCGAGCAGCTAAGTAAAATATCGTGGTAAAGAGTGACCAAAAAAACCAACAAATTTTCTTTTTCATTTGACCATCAGAGCAATGGAACTTCCCCAATCCATGCACACAGAACAACCTGGACAGGAATATTAACAAATTTGTTCACCCATTCGATAAAACAAAGTTTCTGATGTGTGGTCAGCTAGGCAAATTATATGTTGTTCAATGTCCACAGCATGAGGTAAGGTTTGAACGTCAAATATCACATTCTGTTCATCATTCAATTTTCAACGATCATGTCACTCTCATGTTTTGAATATATTTCAAAAGGAAATGGAACAGTAGAAGGTCAGGATATTGATTTCATAGTAATGACAAATTTGTAGCTAAAAGTTAGAGATTTAAAGCGGGTTTTTCGACTGAAACTTCAGTTTATTAGATAATTAAATGCTGGCGAGTGAGCTGGTGGCCGGGCGTTAACAAATTAACGAAATTAAATTCATTGACGAAAATTGACGAAAAAGTACTAAAAGCTATCCATTTAAATTCCCGAATAAATTACAAAATTAAAACAAAATTAAGTTTTATAAAAAATTAATATGAAATTCACATAAAGACATGACAAAATGTAAGGAAGTATAATATGCACAGTGGCACCCAAATTCGTTTAGTTATGAAATCATAGAGCGTTCCGTTCATAAAATGTCAATTAATTTTAAATCCTTTAGATATTCCATGATGGCTGTGGTGAATGCGGTGATGCAAGAAATACAGCATACTGTAGCAAAATTGGCAGTGGAAGTGGTGGTTGTGGCAACATGGGCAGTGGAAGTGGTGGTAGTGGCAACCTGGACAGTGGAAGTATAACCATTGAGGGAATTGTAGGTGAAAGTGGTATAGGCACTAGCGGCGGCAGCATCATTAATGGTATAAATAGTGGTATTGGAGGTCGCAGCGGTATGAGCAATAACGATGGAAGCGTTTTAAGTGGTATAATAAGTAGCAGTGGAGGTGGCAGCGGTATGGGTAACAGCGGTGGCAGCATCATGAATGGTAAAAGTAGTGGTTTTGGAGGTGGCAGTGGT